TACAAAAATTAATGTAATACTTTTTATTAGACTTATGTTTATATAGATTATATTTTTAACTCACTGGTTAACTTATCGTCGACATATATAAACTTAATTGAAACATTTTATGAGGTACACATACCTGAATTGCTGATAAATCTTTGTTTTCAAGTAATATACTGAAAATTCTCAATTAACAGACTGAATACACTCAGTTCGAGTCTCACTAGGAATATTATCAATTACTAGAGAGGCAGATATATCCAGATAACGAACCCTAAATAGGATGAAGCGAACATCACGTATTCTACCAGCCATCACCAAAACAGGTAACTTTGGGTTCCTAATCCAGATTATATCGAGGCACCTATTCAAGAAGCAAATATACTTAAACAAAACTGACCACTGCGGTCAGATACATCAGCAGGAAATCACAAATATGAATAGATAGATTTAAAGCGTATAATCTTACCCATGAGAAAGGATTTTCATAGTTGACATTACTAGATAGTAATTAAAGGCTTCGTTGTAAACTTATAATTGCTCATTTGCGATAAAATCTAGGTAGTAATAAGATGTTAGCTAGTAAGTTCTGTGATATTGAACAACTGGAAATGTAACCTAAAAGAGACTACATCAGTAAATGACTATTTAAGTACTGTCCATTAGGCGTGCAGTAAGACTAATCAAATACACATGGTTAAATCCCGTAACTTTTTGGGTAATGTGCATCTCAGACATGACTCTATGTACTCATTGATTTATATGGTTAATTGGATACCATGCACACCAACGAATAGTGTTTCCGAGCAAGATCGAATTGATCTAAACACCAGATGCTCGTTCGGAGCCGGTTTGCCACATATCAAGGAACCGAGTTTTTCATAAACATATTGAGGTCCTTAATGAGTTAGTGAACAATAAATTGCTCCCGAAATGTCATCCAGTAAATAATACTGTTCCATTATGTGATATTTCCTAAAAGTTACAAGTGTCTAAGGCACATAGTGCACGACAGGAAGCAGGAATACCTTTTCATTTAACTTAATGATCACAATTTCCAGTTGACTGAATAATTATCAACTGTTGGTTGACAGGGATTCAATTGTGCTAAATATCACGAAAAAAGAGATATTGGGATTCATGGACCATTGGATTGGGTTCAGTGGCTAAATGACAACCAAAAGGTCCTGAGTTCGAACCCCAGTAAGTCCCAAACTAGGACGAAATGGCTATCCAATACTTCCTTGTTTTCTAATAGACCTCTAATTGATGTAAGATTGTGATCAGTCCTGTTTCACAACCTTGAATCAACATTCGCAACTTCACAGCTACACAATATTACACATTCTTGTATAATATGCTTATAGATATTTTAGTGAAAACAGGGATTTAGAAAGAAAAAACAAAACCCATAAAAACATGACAGATAAAATCAAGTTGTTGTTGTTGTTGTTGCTGTTTTCAATGAAAACAATTCTTAAAATATTTTTCCTGTATTTTTTTCAGTGTTTATTTCAACCACAGACTTTTTATTTTATTATTATTATTTCATTTTTAGGTAAAAATAAAACCCTGATATAGTTTCATCTATCATAAAGTTTGAACAGTGTTCATAGCTGTAATCAGTTTTCTTTGTATTTTACGAGAAATAGTTTCCTGAAAATACTTAAATATGTGTACCATCCTCCCGCGCGCACACTCACACACACATTCACAATCATATATGGAAGACGTATACACTGCAGCAACGCATACAAGCCCACCTTAAACTAACTATCGCAGTTATCAACCAAAAAAGGGTGTTAAAAAAATTATGTCTAATTTTACGTCAATGAAAGCACTCCTTTTATCATCAGCTCTATACACAGTGTATTTGTTTTGGGGAACAGACGGAAGACTTTTTTTTGTTATTTAGTAACTACGATATATATACATAAATGTGCAGCATTGTTACTTCATAAAGCACAAAGTAAGACCAAAGTTACTAAGCACCTCACTGAATATGGTGCATTATTCATAAATCAATCAGAAATCATTATCCCCCAACATTTGAAATGCAATAAAAAAAGAGGTTAAATACTGAAATTTAAAAAGAATGAAAACACTCAAATCCTGTCCATTTTCTTTTTTTAATACTTATCACATAGTCAGTAAATAAAATAAATGTTCAATGTTCAAGATAATCCTTCCATTGGGGTATTTTTGTATTTTGATAACACATTTAAACGATTGGTAATTTTGAAATAAGCATTGATAGGTTTATGATATAACCAAAGAGATGAAATATTTATTTCTAACTTGCTTAGTTCCTTTTTTGATGTGTGTAATATGTGGCGTTAAATGCCTATTCATTGGAAGCAATTAACACTAACTGAAATGATTATATTTATTGTGGAAGTATTTCTAGGGGAATGCTAATGATTGCTTAAAAATGATTTCAGTATTATGTATCATTGTGGATTAATTTTCTTGTTTCAACTCCTATAAGTTTTTTTTTAATTATAGCTTGATTCCACACCGTATTTTATGGCACAGGTATGGAATTTTCAGCATGTGATATCGATTGCCCAAATTTTGCAAGCCGACTATAGATATCAGGTATGCGTCGGCAGGGGATCGAACCCCGGACCATGTGCATGGTCGGCGAGAGTCTTAACCACTGTGCCAACTTTGTTATTATTATTATTATATTCCTTCATGCTCCCAGTGCAACAAAGAGCTTCAGGCTACAGCCCTGAAGTTTCTGCAGCGTTGGTGTTAATTTTTAAGGGTTGGGGTTGCTAGCCTCATGCCCGGCCATCCCCCTTTACTTGCCTTACTATTATCGGCTTAGTGAGGTAAAGGAGTGATCCGGCTGAGGGTCGAACCCCGGACCACGTGCGTAGTTGGACAGTATTCTACCACTGAACCACCGATGCACTACCTTTATTATATATATTATTATTCTAAGTGTAGCATATCATTTCAGCAGGATATACCGACTTTACTCTGTCCTCGTCAGTTTTATCTAGCTAGTCCATGATTTTCTAAGGGTTTTCATTTCCTCTTCACACAGTCTCCTCTATATCTCCTTCGGAAGCTCAACTCGTAGTTTCTCATTCGGTTTTGCCAAACAGTTCTAGTTCTGGAAAACGAGGGAAGTTTGTGCCTGCGGATAGCCACTTAACCCCCCCCCCTAAAAAAAATTAGCCTAAATGCTACAGAAACTTCAAAGCACAGGGAAATTACGCGAAATAAATTTATTATTTGCTGGAATCAGAAAGAGGAAACGACACCAGTTGGTGAGAGCCACCTGAAGGCTAGTAAGACGATGTGTCTTTTTCTGATGAAAATGGAAATAAACATTGGGGATATGGAATGTCTTCTCGATGTTTGAAGCTGGAAAGCCTGCTCAAATTGGCTACTGACAATTTCTATAAATTGTCAAGTTATACTGCAAGGGCAATATGTAACATTATGAAGTTGAAAGGGGTGAAATATGAGACGGGGAGAAAGCAACACATGAATATCAATAAGATGCTCACTAGAAATTGGCCCTTTTCAGGTAGGTAGTTACTTGGGTTCTAGTCGGAATTCGTGACCAGTGGGTTGCAGTAGGTCAGGTGTGTGGACAAATATTCGCCAATGATGATATTGGCTAGTGGTCTCGCTTTATCTTGAATTGGCAGATTCTGGAATTCGTGGACTTTTCTATCGGGTCCCAGAGACTCAATGGTCTATGAGCTCGCCTTGTAATCAGAATATCCTGGGCCCGAACCCCGGTGAGTGCGTGTTGCCGAGAAGTTCCAAACTAGGATGAAACAGGTGTCCAGTACTATCAGGATTCCCAATGGCTTTCTAACCGATGTCAATTGATGATGAAATCCTTAACTGATCAGTCAAATCACTACAAACCAATATTTGAATATTACTCTCTTCATTGAGTTTAAATAGTTTAGTTGAAAAGCTTTCAGTGTCTTTCTAACAAGCATCTTCAGCGATAATCATATCTTATGATTACGGTTACGATACTCATGGTGAATCTTAAAAGCGAATTGTCTACTTAGATTAGCCTTGGAAATGTTATCTAAGAGGAGAATGAAAACTTGACATATGCACCAGTATTATTAGCTGGAGATACAAAATTTCTCCATCATTCCAACTGGAAAATATAATAAACTGCTAATCTAATTTCTAATTTCATGGTGGATTGTTCCTATAACCTAAGAGATAAATGCTCATGAGTATCGATTTGTTTATTGAGGCTGTAAGCAGATGATGCAGGGCCCATAAAATAAATGCTAGTACCATATTATTCTGCAGAGACTGCTGTTCTTGCTTTATTTAAACAGTCTATTCTGAGATGAATTCATCATTAAAGATTGCAAGATTATGAGTGAAATATCTGAATGAGAAAGAGAAATAGATTACTTCCAAGTGTTAGTTTGGAGAATTTTGATCAACTTCAAGCTAGACCATAGATTCGCCTAGTATTCTAAAGGTCCTGGATTCGATCCCTATCGGTGGAGTTATGTATGCATACCCCAAAAGAATCTTAAACTACGGTGAAATAGCTGTTCAACACTCCCTGAATTTTTACGCTTCTTTAGATTATAACAATCTGTGATCTAACTTCAACTTTATCGTTCACAATTATTAAAATTCTAAACAAATTTTTTATAAACAAATACATACACCTGCGTGAGCGGTTCACAGACAAATTCCTCACCGACCCCGCTTCAGGAGGTACAGGCTTCGACCCCTTACCAACGCGCTTCTAAAGTTGCTTTAATCTGTAGTAAGCCCAGTTGAAAAGGGGAGTTTGAGTGTGAGAAGCGAGCAACTTCAAGCTTCAAGCCTGAAGCCCTATATTCTACTCGAAAAGCAAAGGAATGGAAAAGAAATTTGCGTCAACGTCAAAGGGTTTACCAATGATTTTTTTCAGTTTATTTACCTTTCTCACCTTATCTACCCAGTCACTTCACTTCAATGGAAGAAAACATTGAAAAATATTTTTTGTTTGTTTTTTTTAAATGAAAACATGTACATCCATAAAGTTATTTTGGGATTATTTTATAATCGCTTCTGATTGGTCGTTTCAGTAATAAAAATGTAGGATAACCAATGAATACTTTTCGGGATGTTGTCTTCCTCTTCTAAATCCTAATTCTTTAATTATCTTTTTGCATGAATTCAATCTCATTAAATAAATTCACAAATATTATTGCCTTCAAATTAACGAAAAAGTATACAACTGAGAAAAAAATATATACACATAAGTAAATAAACAATAAACCAGAGAGAATACAGAATGCAGAAATTTATACTACCGCCTAGTCGATTGAAAGTTTTTACAATTCTTCTATACGCATACTGGATTTGTTCAAGTTATGTACAGTGTATGAGATATAATACTGTTTATCAAAATGATGATGTACCTTCAGTGTATAAAATGCCTAAAAAGCATTCAAGTGAGTTAAGGTTATCAGGAAAGCATGAATAGTTTTTTTCAATTATTATTATTATTGTTTTATTCCTCTGTGTGCCGCTTCGAACAAAGGAATTCAAGCATGAGGCTTGAAGTTTCAATAGGCGTGTTTATTGTTGTTGTTGTTGTTGTTTGAGGTAGCCTCATGCCCAACCTACCCTCTTTACCAAGTTTACTACTGACTAAGCCAGGTTTAGTAGTGCATCAGCCGAGAATCGAATTCTAGACCACCGAGGCGCACATATAAATAAGTGTATGTGTTTATTTATATAATTTTCTTTGGATTTCTAATGATACTGAAAGAAGAGTTCAGGTTAAATCGTGGCCTGTGATATCAGTTAGAGAAACATAAAAATCTAGTGAGTCTTCGACAGCCGCTTCGTCCTAAGCTGAGACTCTCCAGAACTATGCACTCATGACGCCAGCTTGCAGAGATCGAATGTAGGACCTTCAGAATACGAGATGAACCGATGATATCACCTCTAACCAGTCGAAATCCCACAGACCAACATTTGGAAACAAGCTTCTTTCATTCTCATTCAAATATTTCACTCAAACCTATACAGCTTTGGGTAAGAATTCGTCTTAGAGTAGACTGTCTCATAATTGTACATTGTCAGTTCAGTGTGAATGAGGAGTCCAGATGTGTCTTTCATTTATTTACTGACACAGTGCGAGAAATTAAAACATGAGAGTTATGATACCTTTCGGAACTTGACTTTTTTGCGGTTTAACCGCAACTTCAGTCTTTTTTATGGTCACAAAAACGGTTACTTAGATATTTCATAATTTTACATAGTAAAGATTTTCGCTTTATGAATATACAGTTTAGTTGGACGGAACAATTTATCACTGTTATATGACCTTAGTTGAATAACTCGACCACGGATCATTCGTTTTTTCTTACAAGTAATGTCGCCTGCAATGAAAACTTAAAGGAAACAAATTTCGACTATGCATAAGACACATTAACTATTCATTACGCTTTCTCAGTGTAACTAGTTTTGTCAAAGGTTTACTGTCATAATATAATTCTTCATTCTCTAAGCTGGCAAATTTTAAATATAACTTCCGAACTAACTGTGGTATACTGCATTATGTAACAGACCATGAAGAGTGAGAAGACAGGCCTAGATGAGATCGACGAAAAGATGGTGAATGATCTTGGCTTCATAGATGATTTATGAAGTCGTTTCTTTCACTTAGACACCTGGACAACATCGTTTCACCTACAGACAGTCAACATTGGGTGAGAATGTCAGAGACAGTATCGAAAAAAACGAAATCCTTATTGATTTGAAATCAGTGTAGAAATCTGCTGCATTCAGCATAAGGGACAAGATCACATTTCACAATACTAGTTTCAAATCGCTTCTTCTATATGGTTTAGAGACTTGGTGAGTGCATCACTGGAAAATATTCTAACAAACTTCAGACTATGTTGTCATGCAGAAAGGATAAGCAACAAGGAACTCTGACGAATAACCAACCAAGAGTCGATCGCCCAAGGGATAAATAGGATGAAATGGATATGGACTGACATACGCTGAGATGACTATCGAGTGATATCACACGCTGAATAAGCCTTCAGGTGGAACTTCAATGGGGAATGATTCGTTGGTTATGAGTTCGAGGATGACATGGAGCAGATAGTGTGAGGAGGAAATGAAAATTTTGTATGCAGTTGTCCAGTCAACTGAAAAGACAACAGAGAGCAGAGATAAAATGTAAATGTGCTCCTGAAGTCTTATGTTCTACTGAGAACCGAAAGGAGTATTAGAAATGACTGATTTTAAATTCTCCAGCTGACAGAGACACTCCTAGTTAATTTATTCGGCTTATATATCAATACATACCTAATAGTCACCTTTTGTACCTTTGTCTGAATTTGCAGCTGCATAATTAATATTATGACAGTTTAACAGAAGACCGATATATTTAATTCTAAAGTTAAACTTACTAGGAAATTTTTCTCATTTATTTTCAACTCACTTTTGATTTTTCCGTTGATTAACTATGCAATTCAAGGAAAATTTTTAAAAGAAAACCGAACTACTTCGCCCCCCCCCACTAAACCTTTTAAAAATCGTAATTGTCCAAATTATTTTATTCTTATAACTGCTTCATCTCTAATTACAAATCATCTCACTAGTGACTAGTCCTATTCCTGTAGGTAGTCACCTGGGTTCTAGTGGGAAGTTCTGGCAAGGGGTGTGAAGACAAATACTCGCCAGCGATGACATTCGCTGATGGTCGCGCTGTGTCATGAATCGGCAGGAGTTAGAATTCATGGGCTAACTATTGGACAGGGTCCCAATGGCTTAAGAGTCTACGAGCTTTCCTAGTAATTAGAAGGTCTTGAGTTTGAACCACACAGTGTGGGTGCGTACTTCTGAAGAGCCCCAAACTAGGCTGACGAAACAACTGTCCAGTACTCCCAGGTTTTGCAATGGTTCTTTAACCGATGTCAGCTCATGATCAAATCCTCCAATAAATCAAACAAAATCCTTACAAACCAATACTTGAAAATATGTTTTAGTAAATCTATTGGATTGTACTTCGGTTGTCCAATGACAGAATGCATGTCAGTCACTTCAGAAGTTCAGTTTCAATCCTTGGAGAACCCAACCCTAATCCTCCTCCAGTCTGCTAGCCTCCAGGAAGCCTGGAATAGAAGGGAGGCTGACACTGAGGTTTTCAAGCTCACTGTATAAAAACAATGTCACCACTATTGAAAACTCAAAGCCTTAAGCCATATTTTCCACTTAGAACATATTGAATTAGAAAAAAGTGAAGGCAGTGTTGAAGAAACCAAGATGTAGACCTATGGTAAGGTTTGACTGTATAGACTGTGTAAACAGTATCGACTGAGCTATTCAAAGACCAGATTTCCAACGGTCGTCTTTCAGCAGATTCGTCGAAATATCATCTGTAAAACACGCTATGAATTCAAAGCTACACATAAATGTAGTTAGAAAGTTTATTGCATATATATTTTCCCAACCATCTGTCCAAGGGTTAAATAATAAAATTATTGTGTTCAACTGAATTCGCTAACCTTGAAATCTGCCATCGGCAAGTAAAACACCTGCAGACTATACATAATTGCATATAATTCGCATAACATCATTTCTCAAAAGAAGCAATAGCTTCTGCAAGGGAAAAGTTATACCAGATTTCACTATTTATTATATCATAATCTAACTTGGTTTTTAAATAGGACTATTATTATCCTTACCGCCTAAACTTAAACATGCATGACTAATTATTTCAATGCTTTACATGTACGCATTTATGAATATCATATATATATATATATAAATGGTTATACTGAGTGTGGTAAGATTTAATTAACGATGGCATTCTGTATAAATCTTTCCAAAAATTATATCTAATGAGTTGAAAAATATCTCGCATTATTATATATATGTATGTATATATGCTGCATATATGCTTGACAGTTACAACATTCAATGATTATCTGAACTCTTCTTTTTTGGAATACTGGGTAATATTAAAACAAAACAAAAAGAAGTTAATGATTGTCATTAAATTGACAAGTGATAATATATATACATATATATTTGATTGGTTATAGATAAATCTGTATGAAACACACCAGGTCATCATTATTATTACGATTCATGTAGATAAAAAATCACAACACCAAAAAAGAAAAAATAGAAACGGAAACCTATCAATCATTGAACACTGAACAAGTCAATCATTTGTTCAAAAATTAGTTTACCGCCTAATTTGAATTTAAGAATATACACATATACATACATATATATGTATACTTAAATTTTTGGAGTATTTAGTAGAAAGTAAATATATTCTCGTTTAAATTTTGTAAGCAAGTAAACTTGTAAATCTTAGAAAAACGGTTTCTTATTTTTCAAAAGTCACCATCTTGATCGTTATCAAATATTTTCATTATTTACACTTAAAGAGATGAGGATAGGTGAGACTCTTTATTTTCGATGAAAGTTAAGAGATTTTCAGGTGGAAATTTTTATAAAACATCAAAGAGATTGAACTGTATGAAAATGTCAGAAACTTCTGCAAAATAATAATTAAAAGTTCTAAAGTTCTGAAATAGAAAAAGCAAATGTGATGTCAAAGTTTGTATGTACCACCTAATATACTGCGGAAAAAAAAAGAAATATTTTAGGATAACAGAAGAATTTCTGAAATCTAATTAAGTGTAAAATTCATTCATTTTTCTTTTTGTACAGACATCAAAATGACCAATTTTATCAAATTTACCAATCTAAAACATTTAAACTCGGTAGTAGAGGGAATAAGATTTACACCTGAATTGTAAAATGAACTGAGAGAATAAGCTATGTTAGAGTGTAAAATAAAAATGGACAGAAGAGAGAAAGTTATGCACCACTGTTTATAAAACAACCTGTCACACTCTAGCGGAAAATTGGACCCTAAGTCAACACATTCGTTATCAGTAAAGGCTAGCTTAGCTGAGTACCCAACCAATCTAGTAAAAATGATAAGTAACACATCAAAACACCTAAATAGTGAAGCTAAACAGAGAGAAGAAGCAGTATCGCTAAAGAACTATTTCATGAAATTAATTAAGAATGTATGGAAACCACACTACTACCATTTAAGGAAGTGGTATCCCAAAACCTAAGTAGGGTTGTATTATGTCTTACAAAATTCCTCTGGGACAAGCTATGTGGGCTAAATCATCCTACTGGCCTAGTTAAATGATATCGCCGCTTAAGGCTTTAACTAGAAAGACAATGAAACCTTTCGCAGTTAAACCACGCATCTGAGAGAACATAACCACATCAAAAGGTATTACAATATGCCAATCTTAAAGAGATAATAAATAAACCAGTCAACTAATTTTATGTTCAAATCAAGAAGTTTATGAATGAAGTACAGTATAAAAGGTTTCTGGTATTGTCGCACGATTTGAGTAGGCATGTGGTAGGCGTTTGATACTCAGCCAAAGCA